AAACATCTTGGGCACGGAGTACCGGTACCAGGTATTGGTTAACCACAGCCGGTCCTGGGAAGTCTAAGGCCTCCTTATATGTGTCTTTCTCCAAGCTTGGGGATATGGTAGGGAGCTGGGGTGCATGTGGCCCTACATAGGTGCTGTCAAGCATAGCAGGCAGTGTAAGGGTGTAGAGCTGGGAGGCGGGCAGAAGTTAGGTAAGGGGACCTCAGAGGAACAAGATAGCACACAGAGGTCTCGCTGGGAGGGTGACCATCAGGTGTTAGTGGATTCCCTGGCCATCCCTGCAGGCCCAACAGCTAGATGCACTGAGGCTGAGGCCCCTCTGTAGGGCTGTCATACCACACAGCTCCAGGGAACCATTGGCCCTCTGGAATTTGGCAGTGCCCTACCTGCTCAGTTGTACCCAATCTGACCAGCCTGGGATCAGATCACTTCAGCTGTGGAAGAGGAGGAAAATATAAACGGATACATGTTCATACATGCCCACATCTGGGCACACACTGGGACCTGTGCACCACACATGTGCACATACCACCGCCCCCACCCCCCCAACTCCAAACAGCTCATCTTTGTCTGCTGAATGTTGGGGGCCTGCCCTAGTATGCCTAGCCAGGCCAGCTTCTCCATTCCTCAGCAAGCTGTCTGTGCCCGAGGGCTTGCCACCTCCATCCTCCATCCATTCACCTGGGCCAGGCCCAGCTCCCCGGCCCTCCCGTTTGTCTCTTTAACTTCCTTCTGGAGTTTCTGTCACCCTTTCCACTCTGACATCTGTCCTGTGCACACCTTATCTGTCTGGGCAATGAGGGGTGGGAGGAGGGTATGGGGAGGGAATTGGTGCCAAATGACCCTAAATCAGCCACTCATAGAGTCAAGTCCTCCACCACACCCTTGTCCCATCCCAGGAAATTTCACTTGGTGGGTGTCTTAGTTTTCTCATGTTGCTATGACAAAAATACCAAAAGTGGATGGTGTTAGCAAGCAAACATTTTATTTTCATACAGTTAGAAGGCTAGAAGTCAGAAGTCAGCACACTTGCTTTTGGGAAAGTTTCTCTAAGTTGGCTTGGAGGAAGGCTTTTGTCTCACCTTCTGCTTCTTGGTTCCTTGGAGATCTTCATGTGTCTCAGCATCTCTCTTCCTCCTTCTCTGTTGCCTCATCTAATAGCTTTTTATATCTCAAAAGAGATTGACCCCAAGTACACTCTACACTAATCCTGCTTCATTACGATAACAAGATAACAAAGACAACTCATTTCCCAAAGGGATTATAATCATAGGCCTAGAGGTTAGGATATACAGCAGATATTTTGGGGGGTCCTAATTAAATCCATACATTCTACCTTTTGTGCCCCCACTCTCAAAATTATGTCCTTGCCACTACCCCATCACATTACCCCAAAAGTCTGAAATCATCTCAAAGTCCAAAATCTCATCTGAATCATCTAAATAAAATATGGGTAAAACTCAGGAGTCTTCCTTCCTGGCACAAACTTTCTCTTCATTTATGAACCTGTAAAATCTAGAATACAAGTTTATCTGTTTCCAAAGTACAGTGGTGGAACAGGCACACAGTAGACATTACAAATGAGAACAATTGGAGGGGAAGAAGGGATAACAGGTACACACAAACCTAAAATCCGTGGAACAAATTACATAACACTCAAGGCCTGAAAATAATTTTCTGTTCTTTGAGACCATTTAGGCAACTGCCTACCTTTCAGACTCTGGGTGTTGGCTATGCTCTCTGGATTCTAGGTGAAGACTCTTCAACCTTGGGCTTCAGCTTCATCTTTTAGGGTGACTAGATGGCAACTCTGTCCCTTGGCTTTGCAAGGCCCCTTTTTACTAGCCCATTTGAGTGGAGATCCCTTGTTGATCACCCTTGGCCTCATCAGGCTCCATTCTGCCAGTTGGGCATGGAAGCCCTGCTTCTACACCTTGGGCAGTAGTCTCAACTCTTCGGCACACCTTAAGGGCATCCCCACACCCTGGAATGGAGTTGGTGAAGATCTGACTCTTTGAAACCTAGAGGGTTTCACCTTTCAAATCCAGGAGACCATGACCACACCCTTTGAAATGGAGAAGGTCTTGCTTCCTGTACTCTTTCCAACAGTTCTACTGACCTCTGAGCTGCTTCAGAAATGGTCCTTTTCTTGGAGGACAACAGATGTTGCTTCTTTGATCCGTTTCCTGCCTGTAGAATTCCAGAGACAGTGTTCTTTCCTTTTGTTCTTTCTCTGCGACTTGGTAGGTTTTCTGCTGTGGTAGAACTGATTTGTCAGTTACAGGCTTTTAACAAAGATTATATAGACACATCTTTGATGAACATTCTAGGACACGTGCCTTTAGTTTGTACAACAGAATCAACCACATCTTGTAAGTTCTGTTTTCACTTTTCACTTTCATTTTGAAGTCTGTCTCTTGCATTTTACTATAATTATCAAGGAGAAACCGCTCAGCCCCTTTAAGATCTTGCTTAGAAATTGCATCAGCCAGATATCCAAGTTTATCACTAATAAATTTTACCTTTCACCAAACCTTTTAACATAATTCAGATAAGTTCTTTGCTGCCACATAAAAAGCTTTGTCCTTCCTCCATTTTCCAATCAAAGCTCAGCATTTTATTTTAAATCCTCATCAAAAGCACATTCAATGTCCACATTAATAGCAACATCCTGTTGTTGGTGCCGTATGTGTTCTCTATATCATAGAGACTTTATAGCTCTCCTCATTTTCTTCTGAGTCTTCATCAGAATTGCCTTTGATGTTCATAATTGTACCGATAGTCTCTTATAGGCAATCCAGTCTTTACTACTATTGTTGCTAAGTGCTGTTGAGTTGTTTCCAACCCATCATGACCCTGTATAGGGTTTCCAAGGAGTGGCTGGTAGTAGGCACCTTAAAACTCTTCCAGCCTCTACCTGTCACCCAATTTTCAAACTGCTTCCACATTTTAGCGATGTTAGAGTAGCACCCCACTCTTTCAGTACTAATTTCTGTCTTCGTTATCTAATGTTGCTGTAACAACCACAAGTGGATGGCTTTAACAAATTAATTGTTTCACAGTTTATTGCTGTTAGGTGCTATGGAATTGGTTCTAACTTATGCACAACCGTGTGCACAACAGAACAAAACACTACTTGGTCCTGTGCCATCCTCACAATTGTTATTATGTTTGAGCCTATTGTTAATACCACTGTAAAATCCATTTTGTTGGGGGTCTTTCTCTTTTTAGCTGACCCTCCACTTTTCCAAGCATGATGTCTTTCTCCAGCGACTGGTCCCTCCTGACAACATGTTCAAAATATGAGAGACAAAGTTTCATCATCTTGGCTTCTAAGGAGCATTCTGGCTGTACTTCTTTCAAGACAGATTGCAGTCCATGGCACTTTCAGTATTCGTTGCCAACACCATAACTCAAAAGTGATTCTTCTAAGGTCTGCCTTATTCACTGTCAAACTTTCACTTGCATATAAGGATATTGAAAATACCATGGCTTGGGTCAGGTGCACCTTTGTCCTCAGTCTGATATCCTGTTCTTTAACACTTTAAAGAGGTCTTTTGCAGTGGATTTACAAAATGTCTTTTGATTTCGTAACTGCTGCTTCCATGTGTACTGATTGTGGATCCAAGCAAAATGAAGTCTTTGACAACTTCAATCTTTTCCCCTTTCATCATGATGTTATTTATTACTCCCATTGTGAAGATTTAAATTTTCTTTACATTGAGGTGCAATCCATGCTGAAGGCTTTAGTTTTTGATCTTCATCCATAACTCTTAAAGACCTCTTTGCTTCCATTAAGCAAGGCTGTGTCATCTGCATATGGTAGGTTGTTAATGGGTCTTCCTGCCATCTTGATACCACATTCTTCTTCATATAATCCAGTGTCTTGGATTAGTAGCTCAGCATACAGACATCGCTGGCGCACACCTATCCTGATTTTAAACCATTCAGTATCTCCTTGTCGTGTTCTAACAGCTGCCTCTTAGTCTATGTACAAGTTCCTCATGAGCACAATTGAGTGTTCTAGAATACCATGCTTCACAATGTTATCCATAGTTTGTTAGGATCCACACAGTTGAGTGCCTTTGCATAATCAATAAAGCACAAGTAAACATCTCTCTGGTATTCTTTGTGTTCAGCCAGGATCTATCTGGCGTCAGCAGTAATATCCCTAATTCCATGTCCTCTACTGAATCTGGCTTGAATTTCAAGCAGCTCCCTGTCCATGTTCTATTGCAACTGTTTTTCAATTATCTTCAGCAAAGTTTTACTTGTATATGGTATTAATAGTATATTTCAATGATTTCCACTTCCTATTGGGTCACTTTTCTTTGGAATAGGCACAGTTTGTTGTTGTTGTTGTTAAGTGCCATCGAGTCGGGTCCAACCCATAGCGACCCTGTACAGGGTTTCCGAGGGTGTAAATCTTTACGGGAGTAGAAAGCCTCATCTTTCTCCCGTGGAGCGACTGGTAGTTTTGAACCGCTGACCTTAAGATTCGCAGCCCGATTCGTAACCACTACGCTACCAGAGCTCCTTTTAGGAGGCTATAAGTCAGAATTCAGAGCACCTGCTATTTGGGAGGGATTTCTTTCTCTGTAGGCTCTGGAGGAAGACCCTGGTCTCTTTAGCTTCTTCATCCTGGTTCCTTGGAGATCTCCAAGTGTCTTAGCATCTATTTGACCCCATCTCTCTCTGTGCTAGCTTCTTTAATCTCTTCTTATATCTGAAAGCAGATTGATTTAAAAGATATGCTACACCAATTTTGGCTCATTAACATAACAAAGACAACCCATTCCCAAGTGGGATTATAACCACAGGCAGGGAGGTTAGGATTTACCACACATCTTTTTCAGGGACAAAATTCACTCCTTAACAGTGGGGAATCAATACTCTATAGCTATTCCCAAGTCAGATCTGTGGCCCTACTTACTCTCTACCCCCAGCTCCAGCTAACTTGGTTCTCTCCCCATCTCAACGTGCCCTGCCAGCAGCAGGATGGGAATCAAAGACCGCATCCGCATGAGCAGCTCCCAGCGACGGACAGGCCCCTCCAAGCAGCACCTGGCCCCTCCTCCAATGCCTATCTCCCCGAGCAGTGAGCAGGTGGGTGAGACCACCAGCCCTACCAAGGTGCAGAAGAGCTGGAGCTTCAATGACCGCACACGTTTCCGGGCCTCACTGAGACTCAAACCCCGTGCCTCTGCTGAGGGTAAGCCCCTGGAGTTCTGGGGTCTAGAACTTGCTAAGGGGAGCAGGAGCAGGGACAGAGTCTATGCTGGTGGTGGAAAGACTTGGTTCTAGTACCAACTCTGCAACCAATTGGCCATTTATGGGCCTCAGTCTTTTGGGATGTAAAATGGGCATCACAATACATGCTCATTTGGGCTCCAGACTATTAGGAGAATCAAATGTGAATGTGGACGTGGTATTTGGTAGTGGCTGAGGACACAGGTTTGGAACCCGGCTGCCTGGATTTGAATCCTAACTCTGCCACTGATCTTGGGCAAAAAACCTACTATTTCTGAGCCTCATTTTTTCTCATCTGCAACGTGACGTTAATAATAGTATATACTTCATAGGATTTATGTGAAGATTAAATGAAATTGTCCCATAGAAGGTGACTGAAGTTTTGAGGACATAGTATGTGCTCAACTAAAACCTTGTTGTTGTTGTTAGGTGCTGTCGAGTCAGTTCCGACCCATAGCAACCCTGTATAGGATTTCCTAGGAACAGCTGGTGAATTTGAATTGCCAACCTTGTGGTTCAAACCGACCTTTTGGTTCAGTGCATTATCCTACAGAGCCACACCGGGACTCCTGGCTGTATTCAAAATGTGTTTTGGACGGAGTGAGGATTGATACTTGTTGAGTCTTGATTGTATAATTAGTCGCATACCGGATGTATCTCTTTTACTTCCCCAACAACCCTCCCTAGGAAGTAGGTTCTGTTTTTATCCCCATATTACAGATAGGGAAACTGAGATCTTGAGCTAGTAAGTGGCTAGACTGGGATCCTCAACCAGGTCTGTTGTGTTCCAAAGTCCATGCTCTCTGCCCTGCTCAACTTTGCCTCTTCACCAACACAGCCTGATGGGTAGCTGTTTAGCTTAGAGTTCCTGGGTAGCACAAATGGTTAAGTGCTTGACCAGTTGCAAGGATAGTGGTTCAAACATACCCAGAGACGCCTTGGAAGACAGCTCTGGTGAACTGCTTCCAAAAGGTCAGCCTTGGAAACCTTATGCAGCAACTCTACTGTGCATGTACAGGCTCTCCATGAGTTGGAAGTGACTCGGTGGTAACTAACAACAGTAGAGACTTCTAGCTTTGTACTGTGATTCAGGCTAGAGACTGCTCTTTTCTGTGCTGCAGTGCCTCTTCTAGAAAAAAAGACTTCTCCACCAGCTTGGCCAGGCTTCAAGCCCCTGGGTGGGAGGATGTAGGGGTGGGTGGGCCAGGACAGAGATGGGAGCAGGCAGCCTTATTGGTCTTGGAGGAAGGGGATCCAGCCATGTTACCGCTGCCTGTGCTGTGTCAGCCCCCAAGATGCCATTCACTGGCTGAGGACTCAGAGAGCCCTTTGCTGGAAAGCTACAGAACCTCACAGACAGTTTGGGAGCCTGTATAGGTAGTGATTTACTTTAAGGGCTTTCTCCCATGGTGGAGCTGGGCCTGGGGGCCTGGGACTTCACCCCTCTGGGTTGCAGGATGAGACTGTGTTCTGGATTGCATGTGGCAGAGGCCTCATACCTCTTTTTGGAGGGCTCACTGCCCTGCATGGTGGGACCTGTGAGCTTCCTCCAGGCCTCTGGGTTTCTCCTCATTCAGGGGTGCTTAAAACTGGCTACACTAGCAGATGGGCATGCAGTACACAGGAGTTTTCAGCCCTGGGTGGAGTAGTGAGGAGCAGCAGCCGGAAAGACAGGAGCATGGGTCTGCCATGCTGTGTGGCCCCAAGAAGGCCCTGAGCTCTTTCCGGGCTGTTATGTCCCCATTGCTACATTTAAAGGTGCTTCAGTATGTGGTGGTGGGCAGGGTTGGGAATGTCCCCTTCTGTTGCCACTGCTTGGGCCCATCTGTCTTCCCAGAGGGCCCCTCAGAGGATGTGGCGGAGGAGAAGAGTTACCAGTGTGAGCTCACAGTGGATGATGTCATGCCTGCCGTGAAAACGGTCATCCGCTCCGTCAGGTGAGTCTGAGACCTGAGGTGAGCACCTCCCCATCCGTCTGCCACCACTGTTACTCCTCATCTTGGCCAGACCTGGCCTAGCTCCCAGGGTGCACCAGCTGCTGCCTGCCTGGCATCCTTAGTGGTGCCGGACTGGCAGAGACCCTGGAGTGTGGGTAGGGTAGGGAGGTGGCATATGGCTCCCAGCAGGGTTTGTTCCTATTCATGGAAGTGGCAGGCCCAGGTGGGGCAGTGAGCACAGCTGCCCATGCCTGGACCCAATCCTCACCCTCACAATGCCCCTAGTTACTGCTGTCTCTGTTCCTCCCCCTCCCCTATGTCTTCTCTCCCTTCCTAGCTGTGTATCAGTGGCTGCCTGCCTCTCCCATATCTCTGATTTATACTCTTTCTCTATATCTGTCTTCTCATTTTGCCTCTGTATCTTGAACTTTTTTCTCTTTCTCCTTGGGTAGCTTGGCCTCAAACTGTCTGTTCCCTCAGGACTTACAAACCACAGGCCACAACACTCTGAAACCAATTTAGTGAAATCAGTTGAATGGGCCACAATCAGCATTAAAATAATAATGAAGAAGAATAGGATAGAAAACATTAGAGGGCATTGCGGACCGTAAGGATACGTAATATTTATGAAATTTATATTTCATGTAAGCAAGAGGCTTAGTGGCTCAAAGTTAAGCACTCTGAACCTTCAAAATGTTGAAGGTTTGAACCCACCCAGAGGCTCTGTGGGAGAAAGACTTGGCAACTTGTTCCCATAAAGATTACAGTCTAGGAAACCATATGGGGGCTGTTCTACTCTGTTGTATGGGGGGGGGGTCACTGTAAGTTGAAAATCAACTCAAAAGCACTTAACAACAACAAGTGTGTTTGTACTGGTTTGCCATGTATACTGTTATTGCTTATAGTGGGTCTTGGCTGTCTCCCCGCATCGACAGTTAAGGGTGGGTGGGATGCGTAAAGTCTCCTTGGCCCTTTAGCCAGGATCCAGCTGTGGGTTGAGTCCCCAAGCTCTTTGGTGTGGAGTCCTGTCTCCAGCCTGTAACTCTAACTCCCAAGGTCCCCAGGTTTCTCTGACTCACCTCCCTCTTTCCTGGCTGTAAAAAATACTGTTGGTGCCCTGGATACTGCCTCGGTCCCTCTTGGTTATGAGGTCATCGATGAGTTATTATGAGTGCTTACTGACAAATGCTCAAGAAATTCAATCTGTACTCATTTTAGTGAGAGTGAGGCTTTTTTATTCTATTTTACAAAATCAGGCACCAAACCCAGAAGACATGGCAGATGCGCAGAGTGGCCATTTTGCAAAGCATTTTATTCTCCTAGCTTCAGAAAGTCCCTCCCACCCCCCACCCCCCTTCCTCATTGACTGAGTACTATGGGGTTAACAGTCTTTCCTGGATGTCAGATGTCATCTACTTTCTCTTGATGGTAGCATTCTTATTTAAAGTTCCTAGTCATTGAACAGGTTCTTTCCCTCTCCCACAATGCATCCTGCTTACTTCCCCCAGATGCATAGGCCACTTTTGCCATGTTAATCATCTATGTCTGGTCTAGCAATTTCCTGGACCCCCTTATCCCTGAAGACTGACCATCGTGAGACTTTATTTTCCATAAATCCTCCTCTTTTCTGTCTACACTTGTTGGTCTCATCTTCATTTATACTTCTCAAATTGATCTAGCCTGTTGGCTTTCTTTCTCTTAAAATATATCATCTCTGGATGTCCCTACGAGTAATAAGTTTGTTTGTTGGTATGTCATGGGCGTCTGTTTACTCACAGCAGTCTTGATTAGCCTCTGAACTAGTCCTCAGATGCAGGGTGTTATACAACATCCAATAGCTGTCAAAATTCCAGCTACTGTTATCAGAGAGGTGAGGACTGAGGCAGCTATATTTTCTTGCTCCCTAAACCACCCCTCTAACCAGTCGGTAAAAAGATCACTAATTCCAGCAGTTTCAGCCAATTCATCAGCTAAGGTGTTGAATCCTTGCAGGGATGGTTCCATCAGGAACTGTGTTGCTAGGGATAAAAGTACAACACTTACTTCCTAATATTACACATAAACCTCCCCTCTGTGCCAGCATCATGTCTAATGCCATTCTGTTTTCCCAAGCTACCTGGCTAGTGGCATCTAGCTGGCTTGCTACTCCTTGGGGGGCTTCCTTGGTGTAGTTTATGAACCTCTGTTGGTTATAGACCATTAGAAAAATACACTCTCAAACCTTGCAGCTATCTGATTCTTAGCTTTAATCTTGTTAGGAACTTCTCTAGGAACTTCAATGGAGTCTCTATAAATGTGTGGATCAAAAGATCCAGGGAGAGATCTCTGGACTCGGGGTCTCTTGTGCTGAGGTTTCTTGCGGAACATTAGGGTGAAGGGATTTGCCAGTTGGACCAAGGTGCACATCCCTGTCCAATCAGATGGAGCAACTCTCAGAGGTTCTTTTTCCACAATGCCACCACAGGGTACTCTGAGGGCCATATGATTGCCCCTTCTAGGCTCACCAATGACGTTTTGGACGTGGTGCAAGTTGTCAGTTCTCCTATGGGCATTGTTAACTCTGCTCCCTGCCTTGAGAGACAAGAAGAGTGGTTCAACATCCCTATGGAGAATGAGGGGATTGCTTTTCAGCACAGGAGAGAGCAATGATAAGCTCTCACAAGGTTCATTTCTCCAAGCATCCCTGTCTTGGCACAGAGCTAACATGCACTGTATTTTCAACAAATTAGGTGCACAAGCATGACAGTCACTTTTGTTGAGAGCCTGCACTAAATATTTAACCCAGTCTACCCAAACGTTCTCTGCTATGCATAGAGTTTTCAGTGACTAGCGATTCGGAAGTAGTTTGTCACTCTTTCTTCCTAGTCTGTCTTTGTTTTGCCGACTGATTGGAAGAGATCAATGTTTGTGCCCATTCCAAAGAGAGGTGACCCAACGGAATGCGGAAATCATCGGACAATCTCTTTGATATCTCA